TCCATGGGCTGCAGCAGCGAATTACATAAACCAGCCACCATAGCCAAAGTCACAATAAGTACTTACCTTTTGAATCTAGTTTTACTTTGACTAAGTGCTACCCGTATGAAGTCAGAATGAATCACTAGTATCATCATCATCATCATTACACCCCTTCACAAGTCCACTGCTGAAAACAGGCCACCCCCAAGGAATGCCACAAAGCACGGTCCTGAGCCACCTGCATCACCAGGTCGTCAGCTTACTGATCCGTTGGGCTATGTCAGTCACTCTGGTTCTACTGCCGATATCCTCATTTTTAAGTTTATCACGCAGAGAAACTCCGAGCATAGCCCTCTCCATAGCCCGTTGAGCGACCTTGAGCTTCCTCATCCGGCCAGCAGTGAAGGACCACGTCTCAATTCCATACGTAACTGGTCACTGGCAACACGCACTGGTCATATAGTCTCGTTTTCAAGTTTTGAGGTATACCTGACGAGAAGATGTGCCGCAATTTCCCGAACGCTGCCCAGTCGAGTTGAATCCGTCGATTGACCTCTCGATTGAAGTTGGACTTACCTAGTCGGACTATTTGACCCAGGTAAATATACTCGTCGACAACTTCGACTTTAGTGCTCCCAACAACTACCGGCATAGGTGGGACATGGACGTTATACATGATCTTCGTTTTGTCCATGTTCATCTTAAAATCTATCCGTTGGGGACACTATTGAGGTTATTGAGCGTAGTGATTAGGTCCTCCAGCGATTCTGCCACAAGGACTCTATTTTCGGCAAATCGAAGGTGAGTGATTTACTCGCCATTGATATTAATACCGCATCCTTACCAGTCCAGTAGCTTGAAAACGTCTTCCAATGCAGCGGTGAAGAGTTTCGGGGATATAACGTCACCCTGTCTTACACCTCTCTGCAGTTGGATAGGTTTCGTACTCTGGTTCTGTACTCGGATAGCCATCGTAGGCCTACTGTACAAGTACAACTTCAGCACTTCGATATACCGACAGTCAACTTGGCACTGCTGAAGGGATTGCAGCATCACCCAAATTTCGATGGAATCAAAGGCTTTCTTATAGTTCACATATGCCAGACATTGTGGCATATTGTACTCCTCGGACTTCTGTACAATTTGCCGAAGGGTATGTATGTGGTCTATGGTGCTAAAGCCTTTTCGGAAACCGGCTTGTTCGGGAGGCTCGAAGTCGTCGAGTCTGCATGCGAACGATTTATAATGACTCTCGAAAACAGCACGTAGACGCGGCTCAGAAGGGAAATTGGTATTTAGTTCTTTAAGAGAGCGTTGTTGCCTTTCTTGAAGAACAAGACCACCGCACTTCTGCTCCATGCCTCCGGTGTAGTAATACCATGGAGGACGGAATCAAAGACCTTCTGAAGGACCACAAGTATCGGTTTTCCACCCGCTTTTAGAAGCTCTGCTGTAATTTCATCCTCGCCTGGGATATTGCCGTTTTTTAGGTGCTGTAGAGCCGTTCTTATCTCGCTCAGACTGACATCCGGAATATAATTGGAATACTGTCGGATAAGACTTGCTCTTGTATCGTTACTCATACTTGCGTGTGGCTCCAACGATGATGTATGCGCCAGGGGCGCCCCGTCGTTACTACGGTCGTCACCGTAGCCAGGAATAGCGGGGCCACCGCGGACTGGGCACTACTTATTTGTGTCGTTACTCAAGCGGGGTATATTGCCATAGTTGCCACGCTTGGCGAGCGTGTTGGCAACCGCAGTTTTTTTATTGTTGTTTTGCTGTTATCAGAGATATGCTGCTGCCCATCTTCTGCCTCAGTTTCCCTCTCTCCCCTCTTACGACACCCACGGTAAGATATGGGGTGGTGCGTATTCTTACTCGCCACTACTCGGGGATTGTTAGTATAGAATAAAATATTAGTATAGATAACTTAATGCGATACACATTCTGTAGACACTAGTAAAAATACAACAAGTAATAACAATTGCTGTGAGTACATACTGCATACTTTATCTATAATATAAAAATGAATCGCTGAATGTGTTGCTAAGCGCAAATCTCGAGAGCAGCTGAACCGATTTCGCTAATTCTCTTGTTACAATATTCCTTGAAGTACGAAGATGGTTCTTACGGATAGAAAAATTAAAAAAATTGCCTGAAAAAGTCTAAAAACAACACTTTTCTATATTCCCATACAAAAGAAAACGTAATAATACTTAAAAGTCAATTTGAACTTTAATACCATACTGTAAAGGTTTCTTTTTTCTTTTTTTACCTTAATAGGTGACTCGGTGTCCCGTATTAAAAAAAATTAAAGAATCGATTGTTAAGCGGTATGAAGTTCGCCGGGTCAGCTAGTTTTATTTATAATTAATTTTTTCGTCATTTCATACCCTTTTGAAAAAGTGATTGATTCTATGTTGACGATATCTGTTAATTGGCGAAATATTTAAAATACAACATATAAGCAAAAGTTCTACGATAGTATTACTATCACTATAGCCCAACACAAGTCCACTGCTGAACACAAGTTTTCTCTATAGATTGTCACAAATTACGGTCCTGAGCCACCTCCATCCATCGACAGCCGGTGTATTCGTTTAGGTCTTCACTCCATCTAGTGAGGGGTCGCCCAACATTATGCCTTTCAATACGAGGATGTCGCTTGAGAACCTCCCCATCGTTTGTCGGTTCTCCGAGCTATACAAAGTTATTTTGCAATAACCGGCCAAATTTGCAGAGAAGGTTCAGAATCTATACTCTATACATACAAATAAATAAAATTGAAGTGTCTGTTGATGATGTCAACATTACTGCTTTTTACTAAATACATATGAATACTGTCATATGAGTTAGGATCATCATCATTCTCTAAACCATTTCCCATTATCTGGGGTCGGCGCAGTAAATCTTTTTGTTCCATTCCTCTCTATCAGCCGTCATTTCCATACTTACTCCTTTCATTCTCATATCACTCTTCACACAATCGATCCATCTTTTATTCGGCCTTCCTCTGCCCGTGTGTCCCTCCACATTCATATTCAACACTCGTTTTGTGACATGACTTTCATTCCTCCGCATCACATGCCCAAACCATGCCAATCGGCTTCCTCTCACCTTTTCTACCACTGGCGCTACTTTCAGGCTTCCTCTTATATACTCATTCCTTATCTTATCCATCCTTGTCACACCACACATCCATCGTAACATTCTCATTTCATTCGCATGCAGTCTATTTTCATCCTTCTTCTTGACGGCCCAGCATTTACTTCCATACATGACGACAGGTCGGATGATCGATTTGTAAATTTTCCCCTTCAGCCTTATTGGCATTCGGGGATCGCACGTTGTGGCTGTGACCTGTCGCCATTTGATCCACCCTGCGTTAATCCTATGCTGCACAGCTCTATCTATTCCGCCGTCGCCTTGAATGAGGGAACCGAGGTACTTGACATCTGAGCAGATAGGCAGTATAGCGCCATCCAACGACATGGGTACAGGACTGGAAAGACCGCCGAAATCACAGCACAGATATTCGGTTTTGGATCTGCTGATCTTCAGGCCAACACTTTCCAGCCTCCGTTGCCACCCCGTCAGTCTGCTCTGTACCTCGATGCCTTCTTCCCCGACAAGCACGATGTCATCGGCAAAGAGCATGCACCAGGGTGCCTCATCCTGCAGGTCCGACGTCAAAGCGTCCATAATCAGTAGGAAGAGGTAAGGGCTCAGTGCCGACCCTTGGTGCAGCCCTACCGCCACATCGATACTGCCCGTAGTTCCCGCGGCAGATCGTACACATGTACGGGATGCTCTATACATAGCACCGACCAACCTCACATACTTCCCAGGCATACCTTTCATCTTTAACGCCCACCACAAGACCTCACGGGGAACCCGATCGTACGCCTTTTCAAGGTCGACAAAAACCATGTGCAGATCTTTATGCACGCGCTTGTACTTTTCGCACAATTGGCGTAATGCGAAAATGGCATCTGTCGTACCTCGACCGGGCATGAATCCGAACTGGTTTTGTGTTATCTCACACTCTTCTCTCATTCTTCTCTCTATTATTCTTTCCCAGACTTTCATCGTATGTGACATGAGCTTAATTCCCCGGTAACTGCTGCAGTTTTGAACGTCTCCTTTGTTTTTAAAAATGGGAACCAGTATACTACTGCACCATTCCTCAGGTATTTGTTCTTCCTGCAACAATTTACCGAAAAATAAACTCAACCACTTCCATCCATCCGCCCTCAGCAACTTCCACACTTCTACTGGTATTCCATCTGGGCCGACCGCCTTCCCATTCTTCATATTCCTAACAGCCATTTTAACTTCTTCCACACTAATTTCTCTCACTAAGCCCATATTCACTGGTGGGTTTTCAAGCATACCATTCCATTCATTCTCCTCATTCATCAATTTCTCAAAATACTCCTTCCATCGCTTCTTTATACTTTCATAGTCAGTCAAAATCCTTCCAGAATCATCTTTTATACATTTTACATGTGAAACATCTCTTCCATTCCTTTCTCTCGCTCTTGTAATTTGAAAAAGTCGTTTTTGACCTTCGGGGCTTTCAAGGGACCGATATAATTTATCGTGCGCCTCTGCCCTACAAGTAGCAACTTCCTTCTTCGCTCTCTTCTTACATTCTTTATACGCCCCTCTCTTACTTTCTTTTATGGATTCATTCTGGTATTCTACGCTCTGCCATTCTTTAAAGGCATTTTTCTTTTCTCTCAAAACTTCTCTAATACTTTCACTCCACCACCACCCATCCTTATCTATCATACGCTTCCCTTTTGTTTCTCCTAACACCTTCCTTGCCACACTTCGGATACAATCAGCCATTTCCTTCCAGCACTCATTCACACTCATTCCTTCCATATCACCCATCTCTATCATCTTGTTTACAACTAGCTCTCTAAATTCACTTGCATACCCCTCCTTATGCAACAAATGCCACTTTATTTTGGGTGGGGGACGATCCTTATGTTTGTTGAGGCGAACAGTTAAGCAGATGTCAGCCAGCAGATTATTCGGTGCTGGGATACTAAGTCTTCACCTGGAAGCACTTTGCAGTTTTTTACACTCTTGATTTGGTTCCGTCTTATCAGAAGATAGTCGATCTGTGTCGCGTGGTGGCCACTTTTGTAAGTAACAAGATGCTGATCTCGTTTTTGGAACCACGTGTTTACTACAGCCAGGTCGAAAGCACATGCTGCTTGCAGAAGAACTTCCCCCTCACGGTTCCGCACTCCGTACCCCCATCCACCGTGTACTCTTTCATACCCGTCATTCACTCTCCCTACATGTCCATTAAAATCTCCTCCCATATAAACATCCTCACGCTCAGGTATTCCCATCATCATACAATCAAATTCCTCCCAAAACTTCTCTTTCGCACTCTCTTCACAGCCTGTTTGCGGAGCATACACACTTACAACATTCACTACTTTGTTTTCAATCATTAATTTAACAACTATCATTCTGTCATTTACTCTTTTCACATCTGTCACTCGTTCTTTCATTCCACTATCTAACACAACTCCTACTCCATTTCGCTTCCCATCACTTCCACAATAATAAAACTTGTATCCCTCCCCAATCTCTCTTGCTTTATTGCCCTTCCATTTTGTTTCCTGCAAACAGGCAACATTCACTCTTCGTCGTTTCAAAAGATCTGTTAACTCTCTTCCTCTTCCAGTCATCGTACCTATATTCCAGCTTGCAAACCTCACTCTGACATTCTTCTCTCTCCGGGCTGTCATATGAGTTAGGATATGGTATTTATATAACAAGAATACAATTTTTAAAATTTTTATCTATCTGTCTTTCTGTCTGTATGCTCCGGCTAATCTCCGAAACGGCTGCATCGATTTTGACTGGCATTGTGTTATATGTACTACTAGAGAAGCCATTCCAAACAAAAATTGTGTCCTACCTATGTCTTCGCGCATGCGCGGGAGTAGTAGCCGCGCATGCGCGAAGACTTTAATTTGATATAAAATAAGATATTAATACAAAATAAACATAAGAATTTAATATAAAATATCTTAATTTAATCTAAACAAACAAATTTCTAAATAAAATGTAATTATAATTATTTTATGGAATTCACAAATCTTCAATTTACGCAATATTTAGTTTGTACGGATTGCAGTACAGTTCAGTTGAACATAGTCGATGTTCGGAATGGCTTCTCTAGTACGTAGTACATATAACTCAATGTTGACGGGTATTTCTCTGGAAGAAAGCTAATGTTATAATGAGTAACTTAGGCTACTTGAGTTTTGAAAAAATAATTAGGGTTTCGCGCAAAAAAAATACAACCCATAAAATCCAATCGTAATAAATTCCATGCGGTTGAAGTCGCAGGGAACAACTAGTAAGTAATATAGGCAAATGGTGAAGAACCATTTATTAAACTGTCTTTTATATCTTTTAAATTCAAAATGCGTGGCAATGCATTATTTTAACTGTATTTTACTGCTCACGCACACATTCGTAAGGGTCGATCGGTAGGCAAAACCGTTGTTGCCCATGAATCATATTCAATTTGGGATAATTTGAAATAAAAGTGGAAGCCTTATTTACTCGTATTTTCAAAAACTGCAATAACGGTATAACATTATTTATATATTTGAACTTAAGTTTAAAATTTGGCTACTCTGAAAAATAACACTGTATAGCGACCCATTACCACTTTAGGAAAGGGATTTGCTCGGAATTTCTCTGAGGGATAAAACTCGTAATAAGGATATTCGGAGAGTAACAGGTGTAACTGGCATAGACCAACGGATCAATAGTTTTGTAGTTGCTTATAATATTAAATATGTAAAAGTAATAAAAACAATCGTATGTACATTTTAAAACACTGTAACAAAGTTAAAGCATTAGTAATCAACAAGATAACGATAAACGCGTCTGTCCTTTATTGTGTAGCGATGTAATCAAGGTAAAAGGTAAGGAACGGTCGTACATGATGATTGACTGTATTTACTAACGCTAGAAAATTACGTGACAATGTTTGTCATCGGTAACTATGACACAATTTATAAATACCGATCGACATTTTCTCAACTTAATTTTTTACTTTAGTTTAAGCTCATTTTACGTGATTTTAAATTCTGAAGTTTCAAATTTATAAATAAAATTATATTTTTTTATTATATTACCATCGTCTATGAGATAGTCATATTTCGGCCGCCAGGGTCTATCCTTAGTAATGAGGACGAATTGCATGCATTAAAAATACTATTAATAGACGTGGTAGCAGGGGCTATGTTAAAACGTGAACAACCCGGGTTTGAACCCCGCCGGCACCAATTCAATTGTTAGTTACAATTTTAAGTGCTGATCTACCACCTGCCCAATGGTGAAGGGGAACATCGTGATGCTAACTGCATGTCAGAAAAATTTAAAAAAAATCGAAGAAGATAATATGTGAAGTCCGCCAACACGCATGGGTACAACGTGGCGGAAACTGCCTTGCCCATAATCCCACTCAGAAAAGAGAGGAGTCCTGTGAACAGCAGTGGGATTTTAACTTTAACTCAACGAAAATTAATAAAATAATTTCACATTCTGCAGTCGGAGCTTAATTCAACGTATAGTTGAAGTATACTTTGTCTTAGCAGCGATTTCAGAATGTGAAATTATAAATTTTACGCGAAGATATCGCGTAACATGCATACAAAAAACCATGTAGTGAAATTGTAAACCTCTTCCTTTTTGAAGTCGGCTAAAAAGTATAAAGGGGATTGCACTAACCGACGACCTGGTAAGAAATGCAGGAAATCGATGGATGCAAGTGGCTGAGGATCGTGCTTTGTGGCATTCCTTGGGGGAGGCATATGTTCAGCAGTGGACTTGTGGGGGGCTGTGATGATGATGTTGATAATTTGGCTTTTCATCGAGGTTAAATAGGTGTCTATGGGCCAAAGCATCTATTTACCGTCAAGTGAACTATGTGCACGTTTGTTAACGATTATTATTTAATTATTATATATATTATTTCAATTTGTTATTAGTTATTAAATTAAATGTGGGAGGATATTCTCCATTGATGAAACAATCATTATTGTATGTGACCTTAGAGTAAATTTAGGTATGCTTACTTTAAGTCTGTGACTCTAAAGAGAACATGTTAATTATTTATATATTTATACTTTATTGAACTTTACCTATACAGTTTATAATAAAATCAAAAGGCTGGTTTAATGCTTAAATGTGTTTCATAGTTATTCTTAAAATATTATTTGAGCGCAAAACATTAACACGCATACGAAATCTTAATAATAAAAATTTGGGAATGTAGGAAAGAAATCAGTCGTTTATCTAACATTTTCTGCCGACTTCCAAAAAGGAGACGGTACTCAATTCGACTGTATTTTTTATGTGTGTTATATATGTGTATTATGTGTCCCATATAAATTTGATCAAGGTAAGACCAATAGTTTTTGAGTTATTCTTAAATAACTTATATTGAAGTCGGCTGTACAAAATTTTTAATTTTAAATTATATTGCCTGTAATTGACGTTGTGTGAAGGGGCTAGTGACATTTAATTTTAGTAGACGTAAGGAAACTTAGGAGTACAGGTACTACAGCTGTAACACCCTATTTTACTTCAGGGGTTGAATTTTCTAAAACGTTTTCTTAGTGGGTGGCTACGTCGAGAAAGGAGTCTATATGCCTTTTAAAACAATGGGACGTATAGTTTTGAGATTTTGTGATGAGTGAGTGAGTCAGTGATATATCGCTTATATATATATATATATATATATATATATATATATATATATATATATATATATATTATATATATACATATATATTCAACTATATCTATTGATTGAAACTACAGTTTAAACTAGCGATATTTACTACCAGTATGGTATATATATATATACCATACTGGTAGTAAATATCGCTAGTTTAAACGATAGTTTCAATCGTGTTGAATACAACTAAGCATAAAAATTTTCCATTGCTTTTTAAACATGTGGTTCGGTATTGTAGTGCCAATTTCAGTCTACGACCGATTACAAGATGGAATTGGTTATAGTTACGCCTGGCTAGCAGCCATAAAATCCGCCGCCAAATTGCCTTGTTCCCTTCCGGTTCGCGGCATGAAACTGGCAAGTAAGCTTCGTAATTATTTCAGGTAATTGGACAAGGAGCTTTATGCGATGTGAAGGTGGGGAGAACGCTATTAACTTAAAGTTTTAGTTTAACTTAAATATAATAAAATGCTAAAGATTTATTTCTAAAGAAACAGGAATAGGAAAAATAAAAAGGATTAAACAATTTTACTACTTAAAATTGTTATTATAATTCGTTTACCAATTTTATACGTGGTAGAGTCATGCTGCAGAAATATTAGTAGTATAGTTGTAGCACGAATGGGTCGGCTCGACCGAGGAAGGACCACGCTCTCACAGAATGCCAGCGTTAAATAGCAGCTTAACACTGCTGTGTTTCGTATGGAGTGTAGACATTCGGATACCCTTTTTATTGGAAAAGAGGCATTCCATCTTAGTCCTCACGGGTGACAACACATCTGCATTTTGATTTGCAAACGAGGATAGATGTAGATGTCTATGGGCCACAGTAACCATTTACCATCAGGTGGACTGTGTGGTGTGTGCTCGTTTGTCACCCTATCCTATAAAAAAAAACACTGATATAGCGTCTGTTTTGTATTTTCTAGTTCTTTAAATTTTATGTCCACAGTTTCACTATTATAAAAATAGTGCAATGGTTATAAACTACAAAAGCATCGATTTTGTAACGTGATAAGCGATGGATACCATCGCTTTATACGTTACTAAATTAAAAGAGCGGGTCATAATCAAGGACAGTTGGTTCGATTGTCACAATAATATTTAAAAAATCTAGTGTAAATTTCTTATCTATGAACACAATCATAATTTCTTTTTAATAAAGTCATTGTTTGCCAACTAATGTAGTTTTCGTTTAATGGATATTGATCGAAGGCGTCATCGAAATTGTAATAAACATCTAATATTCTAGAATCGTCGACGTAAATGCTCAATTGCAAGGCATGATCTAACACATCTATATCGTGGGTTGGCAGCAAATAACAGGTTTGGTGCGAAAGTGTGGACGTCGCCGGGCGAATTGTGCCGCCGACCGAGTGAGCGATGCGCCATATTGCAGCTTAGATACCTACCGTAATATAGATATAATATGTTCTTCTAATATGTATGTTAATTGATTATAATTTAATTAAAATAAAAAAAACACGAAACAAAAAGAGCTGATGATCTTCAAACGGCTGAACAGATTTTCTTGAATCATAGCTAAGAACACTTTCGATATCGATCTAACGAAAAACAACTAAATCAATATCGGTTTGTCCGTTTGGGCGTTACGATGCCATAGACAGACACACAGACACAGATACACACGTTAAACTTATACACTTATAACTTAAGCTTAATTTTCCTTTTTTCTTTTCCACTTATTTTGCCCGTTGCTATATACTTCTATATTTTTTATAAAACCGAACTGACAAACGAACTTATAGTCTACTTTTTTCTACTTTTGATTTAAAAGTCACTTTAACACTTTATTGGTTCGGAAAATAACTGTTCCTGGAAAAACCAACAAGAAATACAGCAGAATTTTTGAAAAGCTTACAGTATCATGTTGTACAATTAATAAAAAATAAATATAAATCATTT